GGGCTGCACCTCAAGGATGAGTATGGACTCTTCCCTTCTTGGCTCTGTCTGAAACACAGAGCACTTCACTTGTTACGTGTTTACCAACAGTGCAAAATTGGATCTTTGCAGTTAGGCACTCATGATAGCTGCCTAGCTGAAGCAGACAAAAACAAAGCCATTTTCCATCTGTGTTACGGTTTTTTAAAAGTGATTGTACCTTGGATTTGGAAAAATTGTATTGGCTAATGAGTCAGGGGGTCAAGTATTTATTGAGCCTTGAGTGAGCACTCGGATTTTGCAGCCTGCCCTGGAGGTGTACAGTTTACTTTTCGAGATGTGCTCGGAGTTTAGGACAGTGTAATTGAACCTCTGTGAGAAAGGATTGCTGTGGCCGAGGTGGGAGGAGGGCGAAGGTAGGAGGAAGCAAACAGGTGAGGCAGGGTGGCCTAGTGTTCTGTGCCAGGAGAGACAGGGAGTCCCCGCCTGGCCGAGCGGCGCGGTCCAAGACCACGCTCACGCCCGCCTCCGCGGAAGCGTCCGCTGCGCCTCAGCAACCCAGAGATCGGTGGCCCCTCCCAGCCGCCCGCACCACTTCCCGGTCCCCGGGGAATCCGATGACTTGGCGCAGCCTCGTTGCGGGGATCTCCGCTAGGCGTTCGGATCCAGACCGCGGAGGCGCGGCAGAGGCTGGGAGTCACTCTTCCAAGGTGCCCCATGCCTGGGGCCTTGAAGGAGTGTCTGGGAGCCCCCAGACGCGCTTCTCATCTCCTGGACACACACAAGCACCTCTCCTGAACTCCTATCCCTCCAAGCAGATCTCCGCACCCCTTCCTTGTCCATCAGGGCTGCTGGCATGGGGACAAGAGTTGAGGCACCCTAAGGGATCCCTCTCCCTGTGGTCCTGCTGTTGGGTGAAAGGAGGCAGTGGGATACTCTAGAGACAAGACACGCGCACACTTGTCACCGGAGAACCGGAGGGCGGCGACCTGGCCGTCAGGGCGCCAGAGGGAGAGTCTGGATCCCGAAAGGCTCAGCGTCCCTCCGGGAGGAGAGAGCACGAGGGCTCCCCCTGGCGGTGGCGGTGGCAGCAGTTCGGGAGGGCAAAAGCAAACAGCTCTTGGGAAAGCAGCAGTGCCGACTCCAACAAAAGCCCCTTTGGTTTGTAGGCATTCACCTGAGATGTCCTTCTCCTACCCTACAGGATTCTCTATCTAATCCAGAGCTGACCTCATCCAGGTCCCGGGAACTTCCCCCTGTGCAGCCCCAGCCCCGCAGAGAATAGCAACCTCAGGCGCAGTGGGAGTGGGCGCACTTACCTCTAAAGGAGAGGGGGACACCGGTCCCTACGCCCAGGTTGGCCACGGCGGCCTCAGGCTCGGAGGGACACAGTTGCTTTTCCCTGGGAGCCTGCTGAGTAGGAGGAGAGCGAGTCAGTCCCGCCTCCCTCCCGCTAGTCCCCGCCCCTCCCCGTCCGGTCCCGTCCGCCAGGCCAGGCAGAGAAGACGCCCTTGTGGAGCTGGAGCCCAAGGTCTCCCACCCACCCTTTCCCACAGCAGCACCTCCCCACCCCCTCGCCTGCACAGCACCCGCTTTGTTCATCTGTACAGCTGGGCTGTCCACCACCACACACACTCTCTCCTCCCGCCCTCCCCTTGGACTCTCCTAGACCACCCTTCACCCTTAGGCTTTGATGTATTCTCATTCATATTTTGCGTGTGTGTGTGTGTGTGTGTGTGTGTGTGTGTGTCCTTCCCCCTTCCTTACTTTCCTCCCCCCAGGTACTGAAACTTCCACTGGTGGCCCGCGAATCTCCTGGTTGCAGCCCCTAAAACATGCTCTCGACATTTCCTCAGAACATCTACTAAAGTCTTCCCTGTCGCCCTTTGCCAAGCCCCACAGTGACGAGCTGTAAATGGGGTTGATAACCCACATCAAGCTTCACAGACTTTCAAGACAAAGATATGGAAGTGTCATCGTTCAAACTAAGCACAGGAAAGTTAGTGGAGTTATCGTTTTGCCTCTCTTAGATGAACCCTCGCCGACCTGCTGGATTAGACTGGGAGTGGAAAGGCAGGACAGAGACACTAGTCCAGAGTATGTTAATAAGGAAGAGGGGCACTGAACACCTAAGAGCAGCCTAGAAACCTGGTCTGGTTGAAGTCGTTCTCTATCTCAGTCTCCACCTGGAAATCCAACACTGACAGTGGATCCTTACCTTGCAAAGCCAGCTCTTGCCCCAGGAGACTGACTGGGAGGCCCCAGGGAGCTGAACTCAGCTAGACTAGACCTCCTCACCTACACTGGAGGGACCCCAGATACTTCTCGCTGAAGGAAGGAGCAGAAAGACTTCAAGTCTGACCTAAATTCCAGCTGGGCTGGAAAGCAAAAAAAAAAAATCTGTCCTCTTTGGGATGGACAAGTCCTGTTTTGATTCAGTGGCTTGTTTGTGCCCTCTCTTCTAACCCAGAAGGCTGAACTGCAGGAAGCTCTGGTCACTCATTGACAGGGCTAGCATTCCGGAGGGGAGCATTCCCAAGCTTAGACGACCACAGCCAAGCAGTGGACAAGAAGGGGGATGTGGGGGCTGGGGATGTAGCTTACTTAGCAAGCATGAGGCCCTGGGTTCAATCCCCAGTACAGGAAGGGGAGGAAGAGGTGTTGCTACCTGGTCTAGTTAATGCTAGTGGGACAATCAGGCTCCAGCATACACCATGGATACTAGAAAACACTAGGGGAGAGAGAGAGAGAGAGAGAGAGAGAGAGAGAGAGAGAGAGAGAGTGTGTGTGTGTGTGTTGGGGCAAGCCTCTTAAATCTTCCTGTCTGCATACTGTTTGAAGCTCTTGAAGCTCACATAAGTATTTTAACCTCAGGCCAACCTTCACGAGGCAGTTCACAACAATAATTTTTAGTCTAGTGTATAAAAAAAAAAGAACCAAAACTGTTATATCTTACATGCCAAAACCCAGCATTTGAGGAGAGGCTCAAATTGGAGTACCTCAGAATTTTCACTACTTCTTTTTATCCCTTTAGGAGGAATTCAAGGAATAATCAAGCCAGTACAGAGGCAGCTGATGCTGAGGCAGAGGGTTCAAACAGCACCTAACTGTTGTCACCATCTCCCCACTCAGAGACCTCACGAAGAAGGTTCTGTGCAATGTGTCCTCTCCTGCTGTGTCAGGTCTCTGTGTTCCCACAGTTAGAACACTCAGGGGACTAAAGACCTACCACCCCATCCCTCCACCCTCATCCTACTCTACATCTGGAGCCCATCAAAAAACCCAGTGCTCTCTCACAGTTACGCAAGAGGTCGAGCAGCTGGGAGCTCAGGAAGGGGGGAGGAAGAGAGGAGAAGAAAGCAGAAAACAGCTCTCCAGGCATGCTTCAGACTTTCCGAAATGAAAGCAGCAGGAGAGGGCAAAGGCTGGGTGTGGAAGGAAGGGTGGATTTTTTTTCAAGGCCCTCTGCACTTGGCTATGAATGTCAGGAGTGGATTTCCACACTGCTCCCATCTTTGCCTTGGCACATTTCTCACTCTCCCTCCTCTCAAATTGTACTCCCTTTAGATCCGAAAGAGATGACTATTGCTCATACGGCCAGCAGCCCCTGTAGATAGCCCCTCCCAGACCCTGTAGATAGCCCCTCCCAGAAAGTTATCCCTTTCTAACCTCTTTGGATCCTGAACTCAGGCATCATTAACGTAGGCGTGGTGACAGCAATGATGCCAGGGAACTCCTCGCTGCATCCTACTTGGGGAAAAGCTCAAACTGCCTCAGCAGCTGCAAAGCAGCAGCTCTTTTCTCAGCTTGTCTTAGAAAAATTGCACAATCCACACTTCCACCAAATCTAGCACATCTAAGTGGGAAATTTGGGTAAGAAAAACTGGCTGTCTACCTCTGTGGCTCAGGAATTTCCTATGGGCTGAAGAGAAAAATCATCCAGGGCTGGGAATACAGCTCAGTGGTAGTGTGCTGTTCAGCGTGTGCACGTACTACCTACCATGCTAACCAGTCTCTACCCCACCCAGTAAGAAACTTTTCTTTTGGTGGATGAGAGGGTGACTTAAACTTCTAGAGGGAAAACAGCCCAGCTAGGAGAGCTAGACATTTTTTGTTTCTTTAAAGTTTGATTCCTGAGTTGATGCTTTTAAGTTGCTATGGTACTAGCTTTTGGGTTTTGAGTGTTGAAATTTTTTTTATCTCATTCCCTCTGCAAGCCCCCTCCCCTATGTACAAAAGGCATTTCCATTAAGGTAGTCTCAGTTTGGAAAAGGCTGGCCTTGTATCAATCAAGGTGAAATGTAAGACACACTGATAGAGATGCTTCTGCCCTTGGATAACAGCAATGTACAGCAACAGACCTACATCTCTAATGGGAGTTCCAAGCTCTAGAGCTATACATGTATTTACCAAAGAGAGCAAAAGGAGGGACTGGAAGGTCCTGTTTAGATGTGAACTATAAAAGGAATTGTTTCTTCAAGCCCATTCTCCAGCCTCAGGTTACTAACTGTAGTTAACAATTGTTTAGCTTAGAAAAAGACTTCATAAGTAGATACTGCTTCTAGTTACACATATATAGGGACTGAACTCAGGACCTTCCCCTTGCCAGGCAGGTGCAGCACCACTCTGCAACATCCCGCCCTAGATTTTTTTTTTTTTTTTTTTTTTTTTTTTTTTTTTTGTATTGGGGATTGAATTCAGGTCCTTGTGCTTGCGAGGCAGGCAGCAGAACCACTGAGCTAAATACCCAGCCCTCTAGATTTATTTTTGGTGAAAACTTCTCCCATCACCTTAAAAATAACCCTGCTAGGTATGAACCTAGTAAGACTATCCTGCGTCAACCCTGGAAATCACTCAGATCCAAACTTAAATTAACTGGAAGGCAGTTTTGATTGTAAAAAATGCACAGGTTGAGATTTGGGGCTTGCAGCTGCTAAATAAATGTTTGCTTTTTTTTTTTCCCCCTTCAGTACCAGGGATCGAACTCAGGACCTTAGGCTTGCAAGGAAGGGGCAGTGTCACTGAACTAAATCCCTGGCCCAAATGGCTGATCTTTTTAAAAAGGAACACCTGTCTAGAGGTTGCTAGTTAATCCCGCTACCTCTATGTGAGATTCACTCAGAGGCTGAACAAGCCTTCTTTAAACAAATGCTTGGTCAGACATAATTATTTTGCTACTCTCCCTCACAAGTCAGCAACAGAAAGTCCATTTGATGCCAGGGAGGGATTACCAGACAGTTAAGGGATGTGGCACAACTTTGGTGTTGTTAAGAGTAAGGTTACACCTTCAACGAGGCAAGCCACACTTTGCATCATTACATCAGATATTATTCCATTTCATTAAGGGAAACCAAAACCAAAACCAAAACCTTGGCCTTTACCACTAATGTTTTTTGACTCTAGACATTTATTCAATAGGGAGAATCTGCCTTCCAAACAACTTGCTGACATTTAATAGCTTTTCTAAAGTTAAGGAAAGGCTGAGGATTTAGCTCAGTGGCACCGTGCCTGCCTCACAAGCACAAGGTCCTGAATTTGACCCCCAGTACTAAAGCGGGTGTGGGGGGGAGTCTTTTCCCCTGGGTGTGGTGGTGCATAACTGTAATCCCAGAACTTGGAAGGCTAAGGCAGGACATCACTGCAAGTTAGAGGCCAGCCTGAGCTACATAGTGAGTTCAAGACCAGCCCGAACTACATGGCAAGATCCTGTCTCAAAAGTCTTTTCTGAGGGAATTACCAACAATTCTCAAGGCACTCATAATCCCTCCCTGGCTTATCACCATGTCAGATGGGAGGAAGGCCCCAAGATACTACTTAAGGTTATTCTTTAAAGTTGATGCTTGGGCCAGGGATTTAGGTCCGTGGCACTGTGCTTGCCTTGCAAGCACAAGGACCTTCATTTGATCCCTGGTACAAAGATGACGCTTCATTTTTTTTTTTTTTTTGGTACCGGGGATTGAACCTGGGACCTTGCGTTTGCAAGGCAGGTGGCGGAACCACTAAGGTAAATCCCTGGCAACACTTCCATTTTTGTTTTTTTGGTACCAGGGATTGAATTCGGGTTCTTGCACTTGCAAGGCAGGCCACTGAACCACTGAGCTAAATCCCCAGCCCAACACTTCCATTTTTTACTCTATGTCTGCCCCTTATAAAATTAAGACTCTAATACCCCTGAAATCTGTGACATTTAATTCAAAAGCCACATTGTCACGAGCGTGAGCATGTGTATGTGTAAAGGCAGAAAATATACGAAGAGGCATATAACCTATAATGCAGGAAGGGAAATGAATACTCTTGGATCTTGGACAAATTATTTTCTCTTAAAAAAAAAAATCCATTTTAGATCATATATCCCAAATCAGTGAGTAGACACCAAAGTGTAAGTCAAGAATTCAGTGAATATTTCATTTTATAATACTCTTTATTTGATTAAAGAATTTTCCTTCTTTGTGTACAATGGAATGTTATATTCCCTACATATTTTACAGGGTTACAAAATGTCTTTCATTTAAATATTATCCCAAAAGTAATTTCAGAAAAAAAAGGCTTTGTGAAATTAAATTTGACTTTTTAAAAATCATATATGAACAAGCAACTCTCAAAACTGGATTAATAAGATTTCTTGCCTACTTAACTACATGGCAGACTTCTTGTCCTAGCCCCCTTCCTCAGAAAAATTTCATGTGGAAACCAAGCTAGAGATCAGTATTCTTCCCTGATACAGTTAGGGAAAGGGAAAGGCCAAAAATTTCTTTGGAAAGCAATTCCAGCTATGGCCATTTGTGGCTGATCTATGTCAAGTGCGGTACACTCTGCAGGCAGGGCCAGATGTTCCAAATGGAAGTGCTGCTCACCAACCAGCTGTAAATGCAGGAGGCCATCCAGTCGTTATTTCTTCCCACAGCCCAGGCCTGTAGCCTCTTGGCAACTAATCACATATCCTACTGAGTGCAATACTGGGTTAAAAGCCAAAGCCAAGGTTGGTGATGTTGTTCTCCACACACCAAAAGTAACAGATGATATGGAGCTGAGAAATGATGACACCATAATGTCACCCAAAAGGCTCAGGGATTTGAAAACCAGGGATCTCAGAGATAGACAGACAGGCTGGTGGAAAATGCTGCGTTGATTATAAGGAAATGGGTATTCCTACATAACCAATATAATAAGGACCTGCTGAAATGCTAAAACTCTAGCAGGGGAAATGGATTTTCCTTGATAATTCAGGAGGGACTTGACGTTAGGAAGGTTAAGGATAGGACTGGCAAAAACACTCACTGACCCATGGCCTCCAAAATCCTAACTGTGTTTCTGCTAGAAAGGAAGGGCTGATGAAAAGAGTGGCTAGGAGAGGGAGATGGAGAGCCTAAGGAATGTGAACAGACACAAAACTGGGCTATTATTTATGTTTCAGCTCAAGCACCCAAAATGTGGAGAACTGAAAGTCTGGACAGCACTACCAACAGAAGTGACAGTCCATGTGGCCATAACCATTCTTTGCCTAGACATCCTGAAGATGGACCAAATTCATTTGAAAGCTGTTTCTCCTTAATTACAACACAAATGGGACTCACAAAACTTTAAGTACTCAACAGTGCTACTGCAAGGACAGACCTTAAAAGGAGAAAGGCTTGGCAAAGTAATGGAGGGATGAATGGACATGAAGAAACAAGAGTCAATTTTATCTTTTAACTTCTATACTCCAGACCCCTTAAACAGTTCACCTATATTGTCCAAAAATCAAGAACAGCTTAGATGATCTTGTTCCAGGAGGTCAAACACAATGCCTATATACAGATGATCCCAGTGCTTGATTGAATGTATGGAAAGGAAACAAAGATGTATGAAAGATTAAAATCTACAGAAAAAAAACTTTAAAAACAAAGTATGAAATATAATTGTATTTGGGGATTAAAATAAAGGAGCAATTTAGGCAAAGGCAGAGGAGGTGTTTACTGGGGGCATTCTCTGGAGAGCTTGCTTTCCTGCTAGCCAGTAAAATCTGCCAAAGAAATGAGCAGCCTTTCCCTTTATGTTTGTGTCATTTCTCTGTCAAAGAATGTCTCTGTGACACTGAAACACTAGGGATGAGTTGAGGGTCCTTGCACAGAAGATGTGCATTGTATCAGAAAAAAAAAAAGGGTCTCCAATGGCTTGTAAATTTGGAAAAACTCTTCAGCCATTTTTGGCTTTTCTATTAATTTGAAATTTTTCCTTTTCGGTTCTTTCTTCTTGGTATTACAGGATTTCATACTTATCCACTAGGAAAGTGGTCTCTGTGGAAAACCTGACCGGACTGTTTCCATCTACCTGGGTCACTTTGGTAACCTGGGAAAATAAACAAAAAAATGGTAAAGCAAAAGGAGGATGAGTCTACATGATGCTAATTAAATTCTCACTACAGAATAAATCAAATTCCCTAAAAACGTTATTAAACATAGCTTATAAATAATAAAAAGTGTTTAACACACAACTGTAAGAGTATTCTGATCTTTACATAAAGGACAACTATTGTAATGACATGTACCCATTTCTATCAAACGTTTAAGTCTCTCATTACTAATGAGTTTATGCCACTGAGAGGGGAGAAAACAGCTTTTGGGATCAAGATACCAGGGTGAGAGATATCTGGGAAGGTAAAATAGTGCCAGAGTAACAAGCAAATCAAAGAGCAAACAACAATATACACTAGGTCCCAGGAATGCAGTTTTACCTACTTCACTGAAGGACAAAGTTTGCAACAGAAACGGCTCATGATTATTTGTACTAATGAAGGCAGTTGTGCCATAATGCAAGAATTATTTAATTCCATTACTTGAGATTCCTCCCCTCCCATCTCATCATTTCCTTCTGACTGAAGGCAGGTTTCATTCACTTCATACAAGCTAGGCAAGTTAAGGACTCTGCCAATAAGCTACATCACCAATCCTTTTTATTTTTTATTTTTTTGTTTTCACATAGTGTCTTGCTAAATTGCCCAGACTAGCCTTAAACTTGGAATCTTAGCTGGGTGTGGTGCACGCCTGTAATTCCAGGACTTGGGAGGTTGAGGCAGGAGCATCACCTTGAGTCAGAGGCTAGCCTAGGCTACATAGTGAGTTCAGGGCCAGCATGAAATACAAAGCAAGACCCTGCCTTTAAAAAAAAAAAAAGCCAAAAGCAAAAATCAAAAAACCTGCAATCCTTTTGCTTCAGCCTTCCTGAGTAGCTTGGATTACAAGTATGTGCCACCTAGCCCAGCAGTAATTTTTGCCTTTTAACTTAAAAAACATTCTTTCATTCCATGGGTATAAATTAAGTGACAATGCATTACAAAACTATGTTGTTGGACAGAGAGAAAATTGGGACTGGATGGGTGGGGGATAAAAAGGATCAAGATGCAATTATGTATATGTACTAATTCATCAAGATGAATGTAATTACTGTATGTCTCAAACATATACTGATAAGCTGGGTATTGTGGCACATGAATGTAATTCCAGCACTTGGAGGCTGAGGCAGGAGGATCTCTGCAAATTCAAGGCCAGCCTGGGCTACATAATGAGTTCAAGGTCAGCCTGGGCTACATAATGAGTTCAAGGCCAGCCTTAACTACATAGTGAGACCCCCATCTCAAAAGCCAAACCAAAACCAAAAGAAACAAAACAAAAACCACTTCAAAATATACTGATTAAAAAAAAAAAAAAAACACCTTAGGAAATTGAGCAATCCCCCCACCCCGGTAAAATAAAAGTTTTAGGTGTTTTGGTAAATGAATT